AGAGTAAAGATGGGCCTTCTGCTTATGGTTCCTGTCCTGCATGCTGGCAAGTTATGAGCAGTTGTGTGTGTGAGTGAGTCAGGCTTGCTTGATTTGCTTACAGTTGGGGTAAATTTAACCATGGAAGTCTATAATTCCATGGTTTAAGGTTAGTAGCTTGTTCTATTATAAACCTCTGTTTTCCTCAATTTATAACTTGAGTTCATAGGGGGAAATGGAATGGTTCCTTGAAGACTTTGGCAAATAACATCTCAAGCCCTGACAGTACTTTTCTGTCTTGCTTAAATAGGATAGCCAAAAGAATTAGAACTGGGATGGGAGTGGGATCCAGTGTTGCTTTCAGCATTGCCCTTTTGGGGAGGGTTGGTTGGTTTCACATGCTGTTTGTTCTCCTTTGGCAACACCTGATAGATGGAAAGTGCCTATCTGGGCTTTTAGCTTTTTATTTAAACTGTTTCATTGCTGATATTCCCCACAATTTATCCATAGTACCTCGTCACCCACCACTTCACTTCACTTCACCCACTAAGCCCAATAATCACTTATTAGCCTTAATGATTAGGTAATATTTTTTTGCTGGATCAGAGAGTCATTGAGTAGCTCCAGCTCCAAGGATATGCTTTGCAGTAGCACCAGCTCCAAGGAGATCTCTAACCCTTGGCCTTCCTCAAGTATGTACTCTACTCTGTATCCAACATCGTAACCACTGAATCCTGGGAAAATCTTTCTGCCATCACATCTGTAGAAATGGACTCCTCCAACACACTGGAAAGGCATGCAATTCCTAGAATTCAAGACTTCTTCTGTTAGAAGAAGGCAGTGGTTGTGTTAAATGACATTGGGCCTTTAAGATGCACCACTGAAGCGTGTGGAGCTTCAGAGTGACTCTTTTGGTTAGAGGATAAAAACTTCCGAGTTGTTCCAGACCACTAATGGAGCAATTGATTCTTGCCATCACCATGCAATCTCTGGCTTTGGTTCTGCAACCTAGCTACAGGTTTCTGGAACATCACCTCCAGTCTTACTGAGGGTCCTGACTGCTGTCCATGTTGATTCCAGCTTCCAGCCTTGCTTCTTGCTATTTCCCCCGAGCCGTGGCCTCCTTGTTGTGAATTTGTGATCAATCACCACATTGTCCCTCTGTTGGAGAACCAGCTTAAAATTGATTGACTGAGTGACTGACTGTCAATGTGGTTGCCTCCCACAGTAGATGCAATTGTAGCTTATTTGCCATCTAGAGTAGCCTTCTCCAACCTTGTGCCTTCCAGACATGTTTGGACTGCAACATCTGGAATCCCCAGTCAATGGTCCTGCTGATGGGAATTCTGAGAGTTGTGGTCCAAATGCCTCTGAAGGCCACCAGGTTGAGGAAAGCTGGTAGAATGTGTTTTTCCCCTGTTCTGATCCCAGCAACTTCCTCTTTAATGACCTTCTCTGGTTTCAGTCAAAGATTTTGTAAAATGTAAATCTGCTGTATGGGAAGCTGCCTGATTTACCACAAGTCTTCTCACAGTAAAACCTCACCATGTCCCCAGTGTTACGAGGCCAGGTGTCATTTTCACTGCCATTAGTTTTTCCCCATGGCTGTCAAGCAAATCCAGAGTTAAAACACAGATAACATTATGAAAGCAGTTCCTGGGTGAGTAGACCAGATTGCACACCAAACGCCTGCCCGAATAAAATGTGTCTGCTTGCTGGTGAAAGGACAGCAGAGAAGGAACCTGCGTAGCCTTCCCCAGCTGGGCGTTCCACAGCCTGGAAAGGCTCGGACTTTTGAGAAGGACTGCTCTTGCACTGCAAGCAACCATACCTCTGAAGCTGATGGTGCTGAGACAAGAGCTTCCCATGAGTTTGAGAATGGATACTATTTTTACTGAACTAAGCAGCAGAAATGGTCTTGGGGCCACATTATATATGTAACACAGATATCTCTTTCTCAAAAGTAAGTGTGAAGCCCCCTATTCAAATTGAGATTGCACGAGAGGTTTTGGGGCTTTTTTTGGTTGTTGATATCTTTGAATATCTTTGAAGAGGATGCAGCATCCAGTTAAAGAAAGTGGTATAGGCTCTCCAGATCTTGTTTGATATCCTTGGGCCCATTGGTTGTCAAGCATGATATTTCAGTCTTTTTTCACTTTTCCACTTAGAATTTTTCATCCTGGTTTCTTTTCCTGAATCATCCTGCCTAGATACTTTCTTGGCAAACTAAAATGCATAGGGTTCCTCCCATTTATGATGAAATAGGTGGGTATACTATCGTATCAATACCATTTTGATCCACTTTCCCATGCTACATGGGCTATAAGGGAAAAACTAGCTCTAAAATTGGTCAAAAATGTTTTTGTGGCACACTTGGGTGAAGAAGCTGATTTTTACTTTGGATAAGCTAGTGAGTACCGATTATGAGTTTTTGCCATTTTTGATATTGCATGCCAAATATAAATTTTCTGGTGTGGCTGAATTGCAAGACTTGCAGCTAAAGGACAGATATTAAAGTATCGGAAGTATAGATGCTTCCCTCCTATAATACAGTGGACTGAAGCTTTCAGCATTTGAATAGTTGGTATACAGATGCCAGCCATGAATGGACATATTTATGGATATATGTTCTCCCTCTGTTGAAATATGGGTGAGTGTATATACATAGAAAAATGTATTATGTACATATATAATTCACATGTTTTAAGTGAAAATGACACATCCAAGTTTATATAATTGGATGCTTCCTTTCTCTTAGATGTTTCCTTTCTCCTTTCTCTTTTCTTTTTCTATGGTTCAGTATTGTTTTGTTAACCTTTACAATGCAAATTATTTTTAAAAAAAAAGTACCTGGGAGGTTTCAATCTTTCCACCCAGCCACACCAAAGATTGTCTCCAAATTGCTCCTTCCACATGGTGGTTACTAATGGTAAAAAGAAGAAATCTCCTTTGGTGCTCGTGTGTAGCTTGACCCACAGATAATCGAGGGAGAGAAAGCTTCATCTATTTCTCTTGTGGTCAGTATAAACAATCCAACCACCTTCTAGTCATGTCTGTGTAAATGAAACTTCCCATTAAGATGATGATGCACAGTAGAATATACATTGACACATAACTTGCAATGTTATGTGTCCCCCCCCCCTTGCAAAGGCAGGGGTGTGCGTTTGTGCTGTCGAACAGCCTGTGCATGGTCAGCATCACAAGATTTGGCTCATATTGTTGAAAATTATTATGACAATAAAAGTTTTATGCACATTTTGAATGCATTCTGTTTAAAACATGATATGTTTAGCACACTTGAGATCCTCTTGTTTCTGTCACAGATGTATTTAGACCATTAATGTGACATTTGTCTTGTAAGAGCAATTATCCGGTAATCATGGAAAACCTCAAATGGGTGTCTTCTGTGAGGAGGTCTTCCATTTATAATAAAAGTGCTTTCAGAAGGAGAGGACAGGGTGTTACGCAGCAGATGTGATAGTTTTGCTTTTACATTTAGATCGGTTTATATTCTCTCAGCAAGTGTGGGCCCTGCTTGGTCCAAGAAAGGTTTAGTATGTCAGATGTTGCATGTGATCAGAGATATTGTACAGCTGTTTCCCATTTCTTTTTACAGTGCTCACATAAATGCATAGTAAATGTACTGAAATATTTTTACTGTACCTTAGCAAGAACATTACTGCACGGGACTTAATTTAATGTGTGTAGGAGATTGTGGCAGGTGACGCCCATCCCTGTAAATGTGTCAGAGACACACTATTATTACAAAAGCACGAGCATCTTGATGCTGACCTTCCCATTCTAAAGACAAAAGAGTGCAGAATCTCTCTCCCAAACACCCCCCCCACCCCCAGTGTGCATTGTGTTGTGTTAAAAAACTTGTTCCTTGGATGAGAAATGGATTTTGCAATTAGCTGAAGAGAACCTGAGACCCTTACAAAAGGTACTTCATGACATCTGGGTAAGTCCTAGCTCCTCTAGGCACAAATCTTTCCCCGCTTCACTGGCACCTTCATTGGTCCATTGGAACTCAGTGGAGTGAAGGTCAAGGTTGTAAAGGGAATGTTTCAAGCTACTGAAGCGAGGATTTGACTCTGCTGTGCCTGCCATTACTGTCTGATTGCTCACAGTCTTCTAATTAGGATGAGCCAGCGACAGTGTGTTTGAACTCAGCTTAATGGGTGTGCATCCTGAATTATTTTTGGTTAATCGTTGCAACTATTTCGTATCAGTTTCATACTGGCTACTGACTTTTAAAACTATACTTGTAACCTTAGTAGTCACAGCTTAATCTTAAATTGTTGTATGCCCATTCTCATTTTGTTTGCCCAGCTTGCAAGTTTGAGTTAAGCAAAAAGTTGTTTTCTAACGCTTTGCTCAGCAACTTTTTTTTGGGGGGGGCATTTTAAAGAGGACATGGGAGGGTCTCTACTAGCTGGCAGGCTATCTTAGAAGGGGACTTTGGCTTTTTCAAGCCTATTTCCCAAAATTGCATGCTAATAAGACCAATTGCCATAACTATTCCTCCTCCACCTCTCCTTTCACCTCTGAATTTGTAACTGGGGAGCAAATTTGGACCAGGTGTTTCCAGTGGTTGACTTGTGACATAAAGTATTCCTGTGTTGGTTTTGGGCATAAATTTTATAGAAATCCCCCCCCCCCGAAAGTCTTGATCATGCCATCTTGTGAGGGGCTAGTATCTCTCATCCATCTGATTAATCCCTGATTAAGCTCATTACTAACTTCTCAGAAGGGTCATGCTAGGCTCACTTATTGCACTCTCCTTTCAAATCGCTCTGCTTTGATCCTAATTCTTTGGGGGCACATTGTGGTTATTCTGTGTAAATGGAAAGGAAGCCTGCACAAATTCGAAGATAATGTTCTTTGTTACTACTTGCATGTTCCTGGACTGCTCTTTAGGACTGAAAACAAACTCTGAGCCCAGCCCTAGGGAGAGAGCCTTAGCACAAATTAAAGCCTGATCTTTTCTGTGTTAACAAATCTGTTATATTATGTTACAGGAATTGCTTACAAGTGGATTTCCTGAATTTGTTAAAATAGTAGAAGTTGGTCCAAGAGATGGATTGCAGAATGAAAAGGTAATTTAGCTGTGGGGGTTGCAGCGCCCTAAGGAAGACAATGCCATATTAATTCAACCGAGAAAGCATGTTTTGTTGCTTGTGTTACTGAAGTTTTCTTTTTCATCTATCTCTATTGCTCTTCAACCCATTTCATATACCATATTAAAGATGGAGGTAACATGGACAATCCACATAACAGTTTAAATATGCCAAAGTTCCATTGAAGTAAATGTGTTTGAGGCTGCAACCAACTACCAGGAAGTAAGGTATTATTTTTGAGCAGACATTGATAGGGCAAAAGTTCCATTGAAAATAGGCCGATTTTGAAAAACCCTTCCTTGAGTAGCTTTTTCTGCATAGCCTATCATTTCTTCCCATTCTAAATACATTCCAACCATCAAAATCATAAGAGGGCACCTCATTTTAGTAACTCTAATCCTACCCTGGTGCACACCCCTGTCCCTAATATAGGGCTGTAGTTCCATTGAAAATAGGTGGATTGTGAAAAACCCTTCCTTGAGGAGATTTTTCTGCGCAGCTCATCATTTCTGTCCATTCTAAACACATCCCAACCATGGCGACCATACCAGGACACCTCATTTTTGTGCAGTAAAATTGCTTAAATGTATACATGGCCTTATGTTTCACACACACACATGTGCAGAGTTCAGCCCTATGGAGTTTATTTTTGCTCTGTCTATCCTACTGCGGCAAGAGCCAGCTGGAGCAGGAAGAGGACTGAAGCAATTTAATGTCTAGTTCATGGGTCCTCAAACTAATGTCCGGGAGCTGGATCCGGCCTGCCATGCCCATTTGGACCCGCCGTGCACGTGCCCATGCCCACGCGTGCACGCCACCGCCCACTTTGCCCTGCATGCGGGGAGGCAGTGGTTTGCTTGCTCGAAGAAAATGATCTCCAAGTGAGCAAGCCGCTGCCTCATGCATCTGCCTCACGCCATGCTTTGCCTCCCCTCGCCGAGCACGCATGCCTGCCTGCACTCGGCTCACCTTGCTTCGCCACATGCCCTGCCGTTCCCCTCAGCGCGCTCACCCACACGTGCAGCCCCCGCCCCTGCCCCCGCACTGGCCCACACATACTGCTGGCACCACCTTTGTGGCCCACGCCTAGCACCGGCAGCTTTCAACTGGTCCCCTGGTGGAAAAGTTTGAGGACCCCAGTCTAGTTCATCCTCTTCCTCCTTCAAAAGAAAGTCCACCAAGCAGACCTCTAAGCATGTGTAGCTCATTCACTGGTGGTGGACAAGGATGGTCCGAGTCCATTCTTGGATGTGGGCAAAGGTGGGTTCAAAGGTGCGTGATGAACCACTAACCAACAATGCCACAGTCTTGTCTGGACAGAAGCTTCATTTGTTTGCCCTCATTCAGTGCATTACCATCCATTACTGGTTCAGAATAGCCATAGCTTCACCTGAATGTAATGAAAATGAGACATAATGCCAGTGTCACATACTAGTGAGTCTTCCAGGAGGTTCACATAGAGAAAGAAGAGAACCCTGCAGAATGTCATAAATGTCAAGGAGCTGAGTAGCATTTTCCCATCAATACCATCTGGAAATGGCCATGCAGACAGGAGCAAAACCACTTCCAAGGGGTGCCTCTCACAAGCCATCCAGAAAGCTTATCCAGAAGGGTATCATGACTGAAAGCTTTGAAAGTTCCTGAGAGGTCCAAGATAATCGACATGGTTGCTTGTTGCCTTCTTGATAGATATCATTCCACAGGACAACCAAGGCAGTTTTCCGTCCTAAAGCAAGGTCTGAAACCTGATAAACTGGAGTAAGATAATCAGTCGATATTATATATTTAAAATATTTCTATGCTGCCTTTCGGGACAAAGTTATTCCAAGGCAGCTTACATAGATAATAAAACAAATGAAAATATTGATGCTGGTAAAATGAAACTGTTAAAATGAAATCATTAAAGAATATTTTGTTTGGCATTCCAATGACATTTAATATTTCCACTTGGTTTCAATACTATTAATACTACATATATCTTAACTAATCCCAGTAGACTAGGTTGTTTTATATTGCTGATTAATAGTACATGCCCTCAATTTAAACCTTTATTTACTTTTTGTTATTTAGCATCCAATATCCTAGCTGCCCCAATAAAACTTCATTGTCTTTAGAAAGGTCAGGAAAAACACTTAAGTGTTCAGCAAATAATTATAAGTTTGGAAAACTTTAAAATCAGCTAACCAGTTCATATGAGTACGCATTTTTTTCTGCAATTGATGTGAAATGGATCATATTTTACAGTACAAGAATAAAAATACATGGTAGACAACTTAATTAAAAACAAAAGACTTCTGCCAGATTTGCATCATTTTGGGAAACATACAAGACTAAGCCTCCTTTGCACTGAAGGCCAAACGAAGTGTTCTATTAATGGGTATATTTATTCTGGAGGAAGCACATGTAGCCACAATGCAGATTAGGACTGTGTCGCATGCTCAGGGGTGTTAGGTTCCCCCCCACACTATTTTTATCCTGAAGTGCTTCCCTTCCATTTTTTTTAACGCCCAGTTGGAAGAATGTTAGTTTGGCTCCGTGCCATGTGGAAACCACTTCTCCTTGTCCCCCATGGCTGCAGTGTGTTTGTGTATCGGAATACTATAACCACGTGGCTAGGTAGAGTCATGTGGACCTTCCACACTTGATCAGTTTCCTACTGCCAGGGAAGGGCCTGGTAGCAATCACGTATTCTCATGCCTGCACACGCACAGGAGTTATGTGGAACACTGCCGTGGAGAAGTGGGTCCCAAGCACCCATGCAGCTTGCGTGTGCAACAAGGGTAGCTTTAGGATGGGGCCAGCATGGTGTGTACATATTACAGTGTGCAGTGCTGTAATATTCAGAAAAAAAAATCTTTTTTTACAAAGGTCCGCCTGGCGCCGTCTTTATATGTTTTTCGGCGCCAGGTCAAGACCTTTTTATTTAACCAACATTTTAATGATAAAAAATTTTAATTATTATTAGAATTAATTATTTTAATCTAACTTATTTTATTAATTAATTATATATTCAGTCATGGGATATCTAATTTACTATTGTTTAGGACAGAGATGTTATTGTTTATTTTTGTATTTATAGATTGTTGTGAACTGTCCAGAGATGAAAGTGATTGGACAGCCTAGAAAAATCCTAAATAAATAAATAAATAAATAAATATTTCCTACCCATGGTGCAGATGTGGCATTATGTCACCTATGTGCATCACATACCCAGGTTTTATTTCTAATTACTTATTTAAAAGTTGTATATAATGCCGTTCATCATCAAATCATAGGACAGTGTATAAAAAAGTTTCAAAACAATGATAAGTAAAAGCAAGGACAGCAACAAAGGAAAACTACGGAGGTAGGTACTAAAATTAGCCAGTGCCTGATACACAGATAAGTTTTCAGCAACCCTGTCAAAGGTAGCTCCATTGCACTGCAGGTAGAAGAGCATTTCAGAGTCGCGGGGGGCGGGGTAGTCAACAGAAAATGCTCTCCCCCAGCTCTGGTCAAATGTACCTCTGTAGGTGGCTGGACATCCAGAGACCCTTTTGCAGACTTTTGTGACTGTGCACAATACTCACAGTTCATTCTCTCTACATGTGTCAGTTTTTCTCTGTCTAAGAAAATAGGATCTGGCCACGTACATTAAAATATCACTAGTGCTTTTTCTTTGATTTTACAGTATTATAAATATCTTTTCTTTGTGTGTTTTTACTGCGTGCCATGCAATGAACCAACAGCAACAACGACGACAAAACCCCAACATATATTCCTTTCTGTTCTTAGGCTATAGTTCCTACAGATGTCAAAATTGAATTAATTGACCGACTTTCCAAAACAGGCCTGCCTGTCATAGAAGTGACCAGCTTTGTTTCTTCAAAATGGGTACCTCAGGTATGTAAAAGAACTGACTGTTGAGAGCATTACTTGGAACAATCCAGGGGTATGGCCTTAATGTGTTTTTTCCATTGAATGAAAATTCCTGGATTGTAATTTCTTCGCCCAGCTTTCCTTCACCTTAGAGGTGGGCAGTCCTAAGGAATGAGATCCAACTCTGGCTCTCCTGGCATCCCAGGCCAGCCATCTGGCTTCCCATCTCCCTTTTCTCACCCACTGATTGTTTGATGGATTCTCGCTTTTGTGTGTTTTTTGCCTTCAGTAAAAACTGGACTGCATCTCCTTGGGCTCAGTGATTGGCACTAACTGCGTTAAGGTGTAATTGTTACAGTGCACCCCTTGGAACTTCTCCAATACGGAAGTGGACTTTTGGGCTGAAAAGAGTCTCCCACCCTCTGGTTTACCTTTTATATTCTTCCCACCTGACTTTTCCCCATCTGAGCCTCACTGTTCTTTGTAAGTCCATAATTACTCCCAGACTCCATCCATTTGCTTTCAATGTAAAGCTGCAATCCTGTGTACACTTACCAACAAGTAACATCCATTGAACTTAGTGGGCCTCATGCCGAGTAGATACATGCTCTAACGTTGCTCTGCACATTGCCTTACATCGCATGGTAATTCCGATTGTCAGCCTTCTGGGCAGAAATTTCTATGCAGCATGCAGCACTTCATGGGATGTCTATCTTATCCCCAATACAGTAGCAGTAAGAGAGCAGAGCAAAACACTCTTCGAGTTAGCTGGCCCAATGAGCTAGAATAAAGTTCTGACAGTATTGCAAAAGCAATCACCCTCTGTGGATATGAAATCCATCTGTCATCAAGTAAAGCTATAACAGCAAGCAATAGCAATGTGATCCTCGATATAAGAAGTGTCTTCGTCTACTTCAGACTATTTCCTGGACTGGATGAGACTTGGCAACTTTTTCAGTATCAATAATGTTAATTGTGTGAAACAAATATTCCTGGTGTCGTACAAAGGAGATCCTTATAGCAGCAGCGCATATTATGCCACAGAGAGATCCTTTGTTGCCTTCCTGTCCTCACTATCTCGTGAGATTCATCTGTAGAGTAAATGTTGAGTTCTATCATAAAGCTGCCAAGAAATGAATGGTCTTTGAAACTGGTCGGTTGGGGTCTGTTAAATGCATTAATGATAGAGGGCCAAGATCCTGTAATGGATGTGGATTTTGGTAGGTAATGAAGATTGTGGCTTAAATTTAGGGCTGCGAGCTTTGATTACTCAGTTGGTGCAGTTAAACAACTAAATCTTTAATGGCAGAGCTAGCACGCACGTTACACAAATACTTCTTCCTCACTGCACACATACTCCTCTTACTTTAAACAGGGACTTTAAAATGGTTCCCACCTGCTCTGGCTAGTTCATAAAGCTATCAGGTAGTTTTAGGCCAAAACTACTATGTGCATCCTTCTTGCCATGCGTTTTGCAGATTAGCAGTCTTTTACAACACTGTTAAAGCTTGAAGTTTAAAACTGCAGTAATTTTGGCTCTGGCTTGTTGCTATCATGGGGAATATTCCAGATCCACAAACATCGTTTTAAAGGAAATATGAGAGTCCCTCAATTGTGTTCCCACAAAATAATAAAAGCCTAATAGTATGTGAAACCCATGAAAATGGACAGAGAGGGATGAGTAAATTCAGGGGTTGGCAATTTCTTCCCATCATCAGATAGAGAAGATAAGGCTGGTAAGGCAGAGAAGGCTGAGAACTTCACATAATGATATGGCTGTGTTAATGCATATATTTCTTTTCATAATTTTTCCCTGCAAGCAGAAGATGAGAAAGGACTGAGGTTCCACAGAGGTTCATGCTGGAGGAAAGGGGGAGGTCGTTTTAAAAACCGATTTCTCCCTCCTCTTTTCACTTCTCATGCTATTCTGAAGAGTTCTCCAAGCCAGGGACAGCAAGAGCATGATAAGAAGGCTGTGTCTAGCTATGGTTTTCTCATTGAGTCAAATAGACCTCCAGAGAGCTGTGGAAATGGCTTGGGTGATGGCCTACGCGAACGGTAAACCCTTGTTCCCTGCAGTCACCCTACAACCCCAGTTCAGTTCACTGTCACCCCAGTGTACCCTGCGGCTGCTATTTGAAAAACATTTCAAGATGTAGTCACACTTCTCCATTGCAATTTGTAGCTTGGTCCATAGGAAAAAGGGACATAAGACAAACCTGGTGAGAGTACTAACTTATGTATCCCACATTTGAATAAATCCCTTATTGAAGACGTGTTGTGGCTCAATGCACACTTTACTTTGTTTTCTTGATAATTATAGGACTGAGAGACAAAGTGTTTCCTCTGGTAGTATCTAATATCTAAAGCAGCCATATGCCACCCTTTTCATTTTCCACCAGGTTTTTTTTTCCAGTGCTTTGAATTCCTTTCTGTTCCTGTGAGACCCTTTGGGTTGCAAAGTTGGCCTACACTTGTCAGATATGGGGAGAAAGAGGCAACAATCCCCTTTTTATTCCTATTCCAAACTGCATGTTTTGTTTTAATGGCATAGTTGATGTTTAGATTAAATTCTGTGTGTACACAAAGTCTGTGTTCCTCAGAGATCATGTGCAGTCTTGATTATGTCTTCTTAGTACTCCTTTATTTTCTTAGGTCATGGGAATAGTGTCTAGTTATGTTTCAATAACTCTTTCTTTTCTTCTTTCCTTCCTTCCTTCCTTCCTTCCTTCCTTCCTTCCTTCCTTCCTTCCTTCCTTCCTTCCTTCCGTCCTTCTTTCTTTCTTTCTTTCTTTCTTTCTTTCTTTCTTTCTTTCTTTCTTTCTTAGTATTTTAAAACCATTTTACTATTTCCCTGTTAATGTTTTATTTGGCTGAAATTTTCTGGCTAAAAACAACCAGAAGAAGTAAAAGGTTCTGCAGTAGCAAGGTGCCATATAAAACAGGATCCCACACCTATAATTGAAATCGCCAAGAATGATAAACGGGTGCCATTGAAATGCTTAGCACTTAGGTATCTTATTGCACTTTGAAGGTTAATAGCAGAAATGTTAAAGTACATGTTAAAGTAAGACTCTGCTTACAAGAAAAATAGCAAGGGGACAAATATTTTATATAAACCTTATTTGCAGTGATTAAGTTTCATGGAGCTTGAATTACAGTTTCTATTTAGACTGTTAATTGTATTTTCAGTTATTTTGCAATAGTGAAAAATATAGATATTTGTCCCATTGGTTTAGCATTAACTTTTTAGTTTCAAGGGTTTTCTTCAGGCTATGAAATAGGGATGAAATTCTTTGTGTAATGAAGGGATTAAAACTTTTGGAGCTATAGGATTTAGCAGGAGGTGCACAGTTACAGGGTTGTTTATTTTGAACCTTTTAGCATGTAACAATGATACAATAAAACTAACATTCATAAAACATTCAAAACTGTACTAGAAATATGTATTACGGCTACATTGGTTGATTTTATTCTTGTTATTAAAACAAAAAAGTCACTGTACACACTTTCCCGAGATTTCGTAGATGATCATGGACCCTGGAGTCCCAAGTGACCCTGGCAGCTTGGAGTTTCAATATGTAGCTCCTTGCTGAGGGGCCTGCCTATTTGTTGTCAGGACAGCTGTGGTGCTTCGAGTGTTGGAGTGGGCCCCTGGGAGATGCAGGTGTAGTCCTGCTCACTGGGTGACCTTGGGCAAGTCACTGACTCTAAGCCTAGCCTACCTCACAAGGCTGTTGTAATGATGGTAAGATGGAGTGGAGAATTATGTAAGCTGCCTTGTGTTCCTCAGAAGAGGAGAAAAGGTGGGATATAAATGCAGTGGAGTCATAAAAATGCCCAAATCTTTTAAAAGACCATAATTGCAGATGAGAGACATATTTTTCGTGGATTCCTCAAAAGTTTAGTTCAAGTCTTAGCCATGCTTAGATTTACTAAAAGCAACATTCCATTGATTTAAATGAGTCTTTCTTGGTTATGGCTAAGTTATAATCTAATGTCTCTGATGGCAGACTGGACTAAGTGAATTCACTAAACTAAGTGAATTCAGTTTGGCACCACATTGGTTTGCACTGTTGCATCTATCTGCTATTGCTAGCAGCCATTAAGTAGCAAAACAAGGTTGTCGAAATAGGTGCTTGCACTATATTCATATAATCCAGGCTCAATGGCTTCAAATGGAAAATGACAAGCTGAACAAATATTCAGTTAAATATTCTATTTTCTCCACTTTCAGCTTTTTAAAATTTTATTTTTAATGCTCTTGCTTTCATGCCAAGGATTTAGACATGTACTAGGGTTCGGAGAGAGATGGGATAGTAATCCTATAGGCAATCAAGTATGGTCATGGTGCTCTCAGTTTCATGTGAATGGCTCCTAGAACTATCAAAGGGCACTGTGTAGCTATTCTTTATTTTTCTTCTTTATCAGACTTTTTTAAAGAAGTGGTAGGAAAATAGAGGAGCATTGTAAAAGGAAGACAATGATGCTTGGACTCATGTAAAATTCCATGAATAAAGCAAGGTGATGGCATGATCAAAGCCTTATTTGGGAGCATTTTAAATATCATTTTAATTTTCCTATGACTTAATGAGAAATGAACATGTTTTACTGTATTGAAAGTCAGTGATTGTGTCTGTATAGATGATATATGACTAGTATTGTATCATTCAGAACAGATTCAATACAAAAGGAGCACTGTATCATTTCAAACCATAAGGTAGGTATCTGAAACTGCCCATGATTTAAAGCAGTATTTTTTTTTTATTTCAGATGGCAGATCACACAGAAGTAATGCGAGGAATAGAGCAGTATCCTGGAGTCCGCTATCCAGTACTTACACCTAATCTCCAAGGATTCCATTCAGCTGTATGTGTATTTCTTTATCTGTCCACAAATTACCATTTAATTCCATGAATGTATTTGTTCAAAAATGTGCACAACTAATCACATACAGGTGGCTTTGAAACTACTGGAAGCTAACTGAGGAGAAAGTTATGTTTATGTGCCAGATTATGTTTATATGCCAGGTTATGCCAAATTGTTTGCCTCATACACAATAACGGTTGAGTGGGGTCTTAACCAGATTTGGTATTAAGCAGCAACAGTACCTGATAGAAGTAGCTGTGCCACCAGTTACTTGTAAATTCTGAAAAGGCGCAGCAGAAAAGATGGCTGCACCCATCTATATCCTCAGGACTGCTGAGTCCTTTTCCTTGCTGCATGCCATCCCTGACCAGGAATCCTCCCCATAGGGCTCCCTCGCCTTCCACTGCCTCTTGTATCCAGATATTCCACACTCATGAGCCTTCAAAGACATGCACATATGCCCCATGCTGCCCAAAAAGTGAATGAGGATTGGCCCAGTAAAGTCTATAGTTAAAATCACCACAGGGACACAAATCTTAAAGACTCACTTTTATCAAGGGGTATATTCCCAGGCAGAAGCAAGCCCTCACTTTGGGCAGTGTACCTGAAACTCGGCTCTCACCAGTACCCCCAACTTCTTGTTCTCACACAAGAGAACCTGCAAGCAACAGCCCAGATCAAAACATTCCCTTTGCAGGAAGTTGTGCATTCAGTGAATTTGGCGCAGTGACAGCGAAGAAAAATAAAGCTTTCCTTAAAGGCCAATGTACTTGATTAGGAAAATAACTAATAGGATCTAAGGAATTCTCAGACAAGCTGTAGAACCATTCTATGCCTCCATACTCCTTTATAGTCTTTGTGCAGCTTCTTCCTTATACCTATTATTTAAAATATTTCTATACATTGGTATAGAAGAAGATTTCAGTTTAGTAAGAAATTTCTTTACCAATTGATAGAAAAGGAAAGATAATTTGGTTCTGTGGAAGTGATGTAATCTGCATTCAGTCCTGCAGATGAATGAAGGAAAAGCTGAATCCCCAGGACCTAACTAGATGTTAATAGTGAACACATGGCTTGTACCAATCCATGTTTCCCTACTAATGTCAGGTATGTTTGCTTCCCCCCTTTCAGGCAGGAGCCAGTGAATTGCAGCAGGGATTTGGTAACAATGAATACAGCAATGCTGTTTCTCACTTTTCTTTTATTAGCTCTGTAGGTATTGAACATTTGTTCCAAGGAGGGCTGTGAATCAGTAGACATTGTCATGAAGATATGGATTGGCACCCGTCCCTCATCTCTGTCATATCTAGTGCAGGCTTCAACTCCTTACCTGGAAGTAATTTACATTGAAATTAATAGGTCCCTCCCCCCACCATAATCTTGGAGTTGTTGTAGACAACATGCTAAATGTTAGCCAGCAGTGTGATGCAGCTGCAAAAAAGGCAAACACTATTTTGGGATGCATAAACAGAGGCATCACTTCCAGATACACAGAAATGCTCATGCCCCTCTACTCTGAATTAGTCAGAGCTCACCTGGAGTACAGCATTCCCGTTTGGGCACCCAGGTTTAAAAAGGATGCGGATATTCTGGAGAGGGTTCAGAGGAGGGCAACAAAGGTGATGCAGGGTCTGGAGAATAAGTCTTACGCTGAGAGGCTGAAAGAACTGGACCTGTTCAGCCTTGAGAAAAGACTACGAGTTGACGTGATAGCACTCTACACATACCTCAAAGGCTATCACAAAGAAAGAGGAAAAGACTTATTCTCACTAATCTCAGAGTGTAGGACACGGAACGATGAGCTTAAACTACAACACACTAGGTGCAGGCTGGACACAAGGAAGAATTTCCTGAGTGTGAGACCAGTACCACAGTGGAACCAGCTGCCAAGAGAGGCTGTGTGCTCTTCCATGCTGGGGACATTCAGAAAGCAATTGGATGGTTGCCTGATTGGGATGGTGTGACTGACATCCTATAACAGCAGTGGGGCTGGACTCGATGGCATTTTTGTTCCCTTCTGATTATAGTACTCTATGATTACTGATGCTTCAGATGGTGGATAAATATTGTTAAAGCAAATATTTTACTCATCTGTTTTGTTTTAGATTGCTGCAGGGGCAACTGAAGTCTCAGTCTTTGGTGCGGCTTCTGAGTCATTCAGCAAATTAAATATTAACTGCACCATAGAAGAAAGCATGGAAAGATTTGAGGATGTTATTAGATCTGCAAGAAACATGGACATCCCAGTGCGAGGGTAATCAGGATACATTTTATCAGTGTGGCCATTTGTGAAAAAAAGTCTTAATTGCTTAAGTGTATTTGTAACTGCTGGCATGCTATATCACTTAGAGCAAAGGTGGAAAGAAGGTCATCTTTATAAGTTTTGGACCTCAACTCTTCAAAAACCCAGCCAGCAGGATCAGTGATCAGGAATGATGGGTATTGCAGTCCAAAACAACTGGAGATCTATTTTCTGCCCATCCCTGGTTTAGGGAGCCACCCTAACTCCTGCAAAAACCAGGTGAAGGGCATTCAGTGTATTGCAATGATAACAGATTTTAGAGAAAATGAAGTAAATAATGCTATGTCACTTGTGACGCAAAGCACAATTTTGTATAGAATAGTTCTGATTTATTGCACAGTTCTAACTTATGTGCTCAAAAGTAGGTCCCAGTGTCTTCAATGGAGCTAATCCAAATGGGTTTAGGATTGCAGTCCATAGTTCTTTCATGCTGCCACTCCACCACTGTCTCATAGCTGCTAAGTTCCACAGTGGTTATTCTCCCATTTTACCCTGCTTGCTATCCTTCCCTATTAGAAGTCATAATCTGTAACTGGCTGAGATCAAGCACACTTCGTCCTTCGTCTCAGGCCTCAACAACTGAAACTCAACAGATCTGCTAACAGAACTGCATTAATTGTTCCGTTGAATTCGTGACAGATCTGAGTGATTTGATTTTCAATGTGCTGTGCAAACTTGTCACAGTGTGCCACTGAGGACTCCATGGAACTTTTCTCTGCCCAAATTGCAGCGAGCCATGATCCACTTGGAAAAGCTCTGCTGGATAACTCTGAAAAGGTGCAGTGGTGGTGGAGAATAATGCCGTCTCAGCCACCCTCACCGCCACAGAATGAGCGAATAAGAGTGTCTGGCCATATTTGGCACACATTTTCCTGCCCCTCCATTCTAGCCATCTCCCTTCTCGCTTCATGGTCCTCAGCTCAAGTGAATGCCCAGGAGCTTCAGGGCTTTGCTCAGAAGGAGGGTGCAATGGCTGGCTGCTGCCCAAGCCATCTCCATATTCCACAGAGTGACCAGCACTTCAACAGGAGCAGCAGTCATCCCAGCAGGAAAATTCACCAGAACACATTGGAATGGGTTACGTTTCACTTCCGTCACTTCAGAATGAACCTCTCTGCAGTCTTGATCAGCTACTGCAGGGTGACGATAGGATGCCCGTGGGCAGCAGTGTACACCTGGCCACCTTTCTTGGCACTTGTCAAGCTTCACTGCTCTTCCCAGTTTTATTTAAAAAACTGGCAATTTTTCTTCCCAGCAGCTGGGACCATGCTAAAGTGAAGTGTGCATGTTAGCTGACAGGCGATGCGAGAAAGGAAGGGGAATAAGCTGGAAGCTGGATGGGGTGTGGGGAGGGGAGAGAAATGTTTGCTTTCTGTGGAATGGATTTGTGGTGCTGGGTTCAAAGGGATTTTGTTGGGATCCAGCCCCCAGCTTTACCTTGCTCCATGTTGATTACTTGTCATTTGCAATTTCTTGTCCTTTTCAATGAATAAAGCACCATTGGCAGCCATTTTGTGGTGCCCAGGGCAGTTTCTCAGATTGCTAAATGTGTCCACAGCCCCAAAAGGTGGCCTAATCATAATATCTCGCTTGGGGGACATTTTTTTTAGTTAACAAATATATCTTGCTAGAAGGTTGTGCCACAATTTTAGATGCATACTACTCTTTTGGTTTGTGGAATGGGCTGGAAACAATTTGGGGGTTGTCTGAAATCCATTTACATTAGTCAGGGGAAGTTTAATATTGTGCAAAATGAGGCAGCAGTGGGTTTTGACTGTTTCTTTCTCTTCCTTTAAACACAATTACAAGCAGTGATGGAGCTGCAATCAAGGTAGCCTGGTGATGTTTCCATTTGCTGCACTTTGGTCCAATGAAAATGTGCTAGAAATCTACTTTCAGAATTTGAAAGGTTTAAGGTTTTATTTTCTGTTTTTCCTGGCAATCTGGAGTTTATAAAGCAAACTAAATTAGTGGCCATAGGTGAATTTAATGGAAAATGTACTTGAAAGCTTTAGTGAGATTTCACTCTGTTGTTGTGTCGCTACAGCTGGACCAACATTTACGAAACCATCATATAGAACATTAATATTACCAGCTGTCATGCTGAAAGCCTAACATGGTACAGAACAGTAAAGTGTTTACTGAAAGAATTCAAGTGCTTATTAAAAGATGAGATTGAAATTGTGTAGCCAAAATATTTCATGCCTTACTGATTTCATAAAAAATATTATAGTCTTAATATTTAGTAACACTTTCAATGCAATTGATAAACAATTGAGTAAAGTTTGACAAAAAAGCCATTCTTTCTACAATACATAATTACCTTAGGAATTCGTTGGCTTTAATTTGTGATAGCTATATGGAATTTCCAGGTTCAGAAGTGGTGGTATTATTATTAATAATATTATTATTGCATTTATTATTATTAACATTTCTCTACTCCCTAGTAACCAACATTCTCTGGCAATTTTCCAAAGATTAAAACCTTAAAATACAGTATAAAATATATTAAACATTTATATACAGAAACAATTTAAAGTGGTCAGCAATAAAATTCCCAGGACCTTTATTTCCAACATCCCTTAATGTATGATGTCAAATGCTTGAGAGTGAAGAGAAGTTTTAACCTAGAAGAATGACAATGGTGCATCAGATGTTCTTCACTGGAGAGTGTTTTGCATAGTCAAGAGCCATCACCAAAAAGGATGTCTCCCTTGCTGCCATCCTCTGAAGTTTAATTGAATGACGAAACTGAAGGATACCTTTGTTTAAAGCTTTACTGGTCATAAGCAGCGCTTTGAATCTTTCACTTTTAACCTCAAGTTAAGCATGCCTTCGATTTGCATAATCAAATAAATGAAGCATTCAAAGTGCTGGTTATAAAGGTTTGCACAGCTTGAGAGCAGACCTCCTTCCTCCATATAAGCCTGCCTTGGTCTTAAGATCCTGTGGAAAAGGTCCTTCTTTTGAGATTGGTGTGTTTGGTAAAAGAGAGTCGGCCACTGCTAGGTTGTGGCACTTTCTGCTAAAGGAGGCTGCTTATTCTATTTTTACTTTCCTGGTGGGAGGCAAAAGCAGGTCTTTAGCACATAAATGGTCTGTAATAGTGAATGTTATTTTCATTTTGTTCTTGCATTGTAAGTATGCATTAACACATTTGTTTCAGTATTGCTTTAAGCAAGTTTTATATATGCTCATAAGCTGCCTTGTTGGCCATTTTTCTTTGTAGAAAGGCAGGGTATAACTCAAATAAATTGGCCATTGGAGGATCTGATCCATCAGGGCTATTTTTATGATTTTAATGTCCTGAGGAAATTGGATTAGAACACAGCCAAAATTGATGTTTTCAAAATCTCTTGCCATAAAACTTCTGCTGCACGTACTTTATGTGTTAAATGATAATGAGAACACTTGGAGTTCAGAAGTGTAGTCCAGATTGCACAGCACAGCTAAGCATTCAAATGCAATCAAGAGCAGTTACTAATAGAATAGTGAATGCAATTTGCAACTAGTCAATTGAGTATTATTTCTAGGAATGTGAGGGCAATACATGGAGAAAAAGTTATAAACTGTAGTTACAGTCAACCTGTATGGCACAGGTGGATAAAATATTGTATTTAGGTAAGCTCAGTTGCTTGGCTGGCTAGCTAGCTAAGAAGCTTATTGGGTGGTCTTGGCAAGTCACTCTGTCTCCATGTACCATGTGTTTCATTCACACCATTGTAAGAAAAATTGGAATAAGGCTTATAAAACACACTCTTTTATTTTTTTGTAAATATTTTTAATGACTGCGGGGATGCTTCCCATAACTTCTCACATAAGCACAGGAGAAGCCCTGTGCTGAACCAGAACGAAGGTCTGTCTGCTGTCCAGAGGACTGTAGTTTCTCAGGTGGAGGTTGCATGAAAAACGGGGATTCTTCTAGCTCATATCCCACAAGCAACGACATTGCTAAGGACCCTGCCCTTTCTGAATGCTCTATGGCTCTCCAAGGCAGAGGAACCTGTTTATGCATGACGGCTGTCGAAAGGCAAGCTGCAGTGCTTCGTGTTCCTGGTGGGTGTGGAGCCAAGAGAGAGTTATAGTTATTCAAGCTCCTAGGGATGTAAGAGGTCTGCCGGATCAGACCAGTGGCCTCTCTAGTCCTGGATTCTGTTCCCACACTGGTCAACCAGTTGCCACAGTGGGAAACCCGAAAGCAGGAGGTGAGGTCAAGAACTCCTTCCTGATTGTGTCTCCCACCAGTTGGTATGCAGCAGTACACTGCCTCTGATACTGCGAGCAGCCATCATGACTAGGAGCCAGTGGTACCACTGTCCTCTGTGAATGCATCTAATCCTCCTTTAAAGCTGTCTGTGCTGTACATCTTCTGGTACTGAATTCCATTCTGTGCGCTGGGTAAGAAAGTGTGTCCTTTACTTTCTCCTGAGTTTCAGACCTGAGAATTAAGAAAGAGAAAGAAAAGGTTCTGCCTACCCGGCCAGTACAAGAAAATCAAACTCCTCCCTATTCACTTTGTACTATCCACAATTTTGTGTCTCCTCTAACCTGCCTTTTTTTTAAGCTTAACATCCCCAAACGCTATACCTTTTCCTCACAGCAGAATTGCTCCATCCTTTTGCTCATTTTAGTTGCTCTTTTCTGCTCCTTTTCCAACAATCCAATATCCTTTTTGGCATATGGTGCCCAGAACGGTGCATAGTATCCAAGTGTGTTTGTACCATAAATTTGTATAAGAGCAGTATGTTATTGGATGTTTTATTTTCAGTTTTTTTCCTGATGATCTCCAACTTGGAGTGTTTCTTTTCCACTGCAGCTGCATAAAAGGTTGATGTTTTTATTGAGCTTTCCAGCACAACCCCAGGATTCATTTCCTAGTCAGCCAGTACCAGCTCAAATCCACCAATGTATATGGGAACTTAAGAATTTTAGTCCCAGTGTACATCATTGTGCAAATATTCCTGGAAAGAAACCCTTACAGAGGTGGCAAACTGGGGTGGAGTGAAAGAGTAAAAACTGCAGCAGTCTTCTCACCCACTTCCCCATTCAGCCCATCCAAATAAATCTCCATTTTGCTTTAAACTGTAAGAGAACTGCAGTAGGGCTCTGAGAAGGAGCCATGAAATGTGGGGATGGGGCAGGAAAGAGCTGCCCTACTTTTTCTGTGCTTTTTAATTGACAACTTGGCAATTGGGCCCTGGCAATTGTGTGCAAATTACGCTACAGCTGATTGTCTTGTCAGTTTCCATGTATGTTCCCTGCTCTACTTTCTTTGTTCTCTTTGCTAGCTGAAATACAAAGATGGCCACCAGGCAAGACTAGACATTTTGGACAGTGACACTTGCAAAAGAGTGACTATAACAGCAACTACAGCAGCAACAACAATAACAAAATTATTGTTATATTGGCAATTTTTTTGGTACGGAAAAAATACAACCCTGATTGCACATTTTGAGGATTTTATTTTATTTTTAATTGCAAACGAAAAGAGGCCTTGACTGGAGCAGGTAGAGAAGTTCTGTTGCAAAGGAACCTGGGATACTACCTAGTGGACTGAGAGAGGAGGAGCAGGAGAACAAGCTACAGGGAGCCTGATGCACTCTCGGGCACACCTGAGCAACCCACTCTGCGTACCTTATTCACCGGGTGTCTTAGCATTCTGTGCAAACCCATCCATTGGCCCTTAACCATCCAGAGTTGTGCATTTTGGCTATGACTGGGAGACTGTGTGTGAATATTCTACTCCTTCATAAGTTATTTCATCCTTCTCCCCAACCTCCAGCATTCTGGCAGTAAACCTTTGGCGGCTTTGTAACATATGACTTCCTCTAAGGATATATCAACTGCCATGTTAAAGATTTGCCTTGGGATAGCTGTCTAGTCTTCTAACATGAACTTCCAATGAAAATAAATACCTCTGCAATGAACTGTGTAAATTATATGCAAACATACAATGCAATAATAAACAGGAAGCAGCGGCATCTGTGCCTGTGATTAGGTTCTCGGGGGACTTTCTGCGTTCAGCTGTGCTAGCAGCTGTGTGTCTCAAGGTGGCTTAGTGACTATCGCAGGAAGATTCCTGCAAGAGGCTGACTCCTGTGCAGAACCGGGTTTCTGCTTGGATTGATTTTACTTGTGCTGAATGCGAGGGATGATTAATTGCACAGCTCCCCTGTATGTGGCTGACATCTGCCATGCATGTTCTCCTTACAAGGCCCACATCCACAAGCGTCGTTTTTCATCCCAGTAGTTTTTCATCTGGGTAGTATGGACTCTGCTTTTCTGAATGAAGATGAGGAGCAACTTTATCTCCCTTCTCCTTAGGTTGTTAGAAATCTTCCTTTAAATTGTGCTTTTCAGCATTATATGCTTTTCGGCGCCAAGTCAAGACCTTTTAATTTTTCCATAATTTCAATGTTTAAATATTTTAACTACATTTTATGCTCAATTGTGGAGTATTATGGGTTTATATGTATTTATTGGGTGATCTGTTTATAAGCCATCCAGAGACACGCAACGCAATTGGACGGGATAAAAATATCCAAATAAAATATAAATCAATAAATTCCAAGTTTGATCAAAGTCAGTAGTATCCTCTTTCTCCTTCAGAGACAAAGTCAATCTGTCCATTTCGGCACAGTCCAAGATCTTTTTTAAAATCAGTTCTTCGGTATGTGGTTCTTCACTCTTCCAATGTTGGGCAAATGCAATCCTTGCCGCAGTAGTTACATGTAGAATCAAATACATTGCTTGATTACCAACATCATCAGGTACAATGCCCAATAAGAAAAGAGATGCTTCAGTTCTGTAGAGTCGTGGGCTGCTTGGAGTTATGCTGGTTCCTGGGTAAAGTGGATTGCCCAAGCTTTTCATGCCAGATCAACACTCACCTAGGAGGAAGGTCCCTGCTGCTCACCTGATTCTAGGCACAGCTGCATACAGCAGTTACATGGGATTGACTCATTGGGCAATTTCTAAATGTCAACTTGGGAGGTGTATAAATATTAATATTAATGATACTAATAATAATTCATGACTATTTTACCTGCATAGCAGTGACTGAACTGCACATAGAAACCGCTGCCTCAGCTCTGACATCCCTCAGCTTAATCTTCTGCTAGTATTGCTGGCCGTATGCCACGGAATTATTTGAAGGGCTCATTTGTCTATGAATGTTACAAATGTCTCTGTATTCTTTTTTGTTTAGGTATGTGTCCTGTGCATTGGGATGCCCTTATGAAGGAAATATTGCACCAGCAAAAGTTGCAGAAGTAAGTCTACTTAATATAAGTAAAAACACAAAGGCCAGAAATACGTGAAGGCCAGCTAACTGCACACTGCATTTAAGGAGAAGGGTTGCTGGTAATCCACATCCTTTTGTTAACCTGAGATTAAGCCTGTGGGGTCTAGATCTGGATGTAATGCCAGCTCATGAGAAGAGGAGGTTAACCCTTCCCACACTTTCCAGCCACTTCCTGTCACCTCCAGTTATCTCAAACCCCCTGTACACTAAAGAAAAAAGAAAAAAAAAATAAACTGCATGGATGACAATGGACCTTTTTTTAAAACTTTCTGGGTTCCACAGGGTGAATTTTGATAGGGAAAATGTTGGGTGGGAAGTCTTCAGCCTCCCTTTGCTGTGCATGGTGGTCCCAATTCAAGTCAGATCAGTGGACACTTACACTAAAGCAGGGGTCTCAAACTCAACTTACCCGGGGACCGCTGGAAGTAGAGTCTGGGTGAGGCTGGGCCACATCAAGTATTCCACCACCGCAGTGGGGGTGGGCTGCTCATCCCGCAGCTGGCCCGGGCGCCACCGGCACTTTGAAGGCTGCAGGGCCCCTTCCCCGTGCCCTGCCCGTCCCGGCCATTGGCCCACGGGCCGCGAGTTTGAGACCCCTGCACTAAAGTAAATAAACTAGTAAGGATCAGCCACACACAACATATTTAATATAACATGTAGGTTAGCCCAGAAGTATTCGCCACACTTTACATTTCCCAAGTACTTGGAAATTTCAGGGTGAGTCAAGGATCCACTTTCTTATGAAAGAGCATGAAATGCATTGAAGAAATAGTATGACTGTGATATCTGTTTGTTTATAAGTAATGCACACTGAGCACAGAAAAGCCAAGTAACTTTACAGATAGTTCTAATTTGTAAAGCAGTATCAAGTATAGTAGACACTGAACTACCCAAGATAGCCATGGGATTCATATCTTCTTTGCAGACTTTGAACAACACAATTTAACCTTCTTTGTGTCCTTGATAGTCTGTTCTTCAGATTAAACACATAACAGGATAACTCATGGCCTTCAGGGACTAATTGCTCCACACTCTGTCAATCTTTATTACACCTGTCCACAGAGGTCCCACTAGCAAAGGCTGTGGATTACTTTAGCAGTTCTGCCTTGTAGTCAATTTCTAGCCCCCTTTAGCTTGTCTGCCTATTGGGACCACATTGCAGTAGGCTGTACTTTTTAGTAGGCTTAAAGGACCAAAGGGAAAAAAGAGGGGGCAGGCAACATGAAATGTCATGCACAAAATACTTGAAAAATGTTATATGTTGCAAATTCTGACCAAGATGCTATGCGCAGAAAAGCATTGAGTGGGTTTACATGCAATGTCAACCCAAGGTTTTTGCATGCACAAGTGGGAGTGAATAAGTGTGCTGCATCAGGCATGCTTCCCCTTTCTATTAATAGCATATGATTTCCCTGTTGGTAGGTTCTTGTATAATATTCAGACCTGGAAACTGTAGGTTGTTTAAAGGGTTTAGTAAAACAGAATTAGCCTATGATTTGCTCTTGCATTAACTCTGGGTTATTTAATTCCTAAGGAAAACCCAGAGTGCACAGGTTATGACATCATGAAAATAACCTATGAAGAGGGTAATTGTAGGTTGTCAAGTGAAAGTGGAAATGAGGAATGTGCCAGAGGTAGCATGCTCACTCACTGCTAGACTTGGTCAGTTTGTTGGTAAATTAACCAATGATTGCTGTTGCATGCCAACTGGGTCAAATGTTTTAGTTTCTTCTTGTGCTTTTAATGTCTGGAAGTAAGTAGAGAGGATAGGCAAGGGGAAACCATGATTCCACAGGCTTTTCTGGGTTGCGTAATAATGATTTAGTGATTAGCAGGTTGTGCAGTAGCCCCCTGTGTTAAATTAACTGGCAACTCATTGCAAAACTGAATGCTATTTCATCTCCTGACAGTTTGTAAATTTTTAATGAGATCTCACTCCCCATATGGCATGTTACCTCTGTTTTCTGTAAATACATATAATTCCTCAGGTTTTCATCTCCTCCTGGAAAAAGGAAATAGGGGATCTAATCCATATACAATGGAAAGCACTTTGATTTCCATGGAAGTATTAAGCAGGCAAAGTTAATGCGGAGCCAGATGTTCATTTCACTATTAATTTGTTTAACCAAATGAAAACACCTGGCACTCTGAGTTAATGTTCAACCAAAAAACTTGGTCTTGAAAGCTATAAAAGGGCACAACCCCACATAGAGAGGTCAAATCTAAAAAATTTCAGAAAGCAAGTTTTGCAGGTTCTGACAACGGCTTTTCCTTTCCTCAGTTTTTCATCAGCACATGTGAATTTGTAACACAGAAAGCATTTTATATTTTCACGGTCAATTCCTTTGCATGTGTTTGATGTGGTTGTATCCTCCCCTACATAGGTCTCCAAAAGACTCTATAGTATGGGATGCTATGAGGTATCTCTGGGAGACACCATTGGCGTGGGAACGCCAGGAAGCATGAAGAGGATGCTGGAATCAGTTATGCTGGAAATCCCAGTAACTGCTATTGCAGTACATTGTCATGACACATATGGCCAGGCTTTGGCCAACATCCTTACGGCCATGCAGGTAATTCCCAAATTCCAGTTCTGTCCATAGGCAGTTTGATAACACTTAGTGCCATTTATTTTCACTTTACAGAAGGGAGGAGAAAACTATCACGGATAAGTATGTGTTGTGTTGTCAGATTTGTCAGTCATTTGGTGCAAGTTTAGTGGGGAAGTAGCAGTGTTCTCTGGACTAAAAGCTGGTTTGCACAACTTCCAGGAATAGCTTGGCTGCCCCCATGCTAGGGAGACACAGGCATAGGAAAGCATATAACACAGTGGTAGAGCATGTATTTTGGAGGTTTCCAGGTTCATTCCCCAGTATTTCCAAGCAAAATGGTCCAAGAACAAATGGTGGGGAGAATACCTCTGCCACAGTTCTGACCAGCTGTCACCAAAACAGAATATGCAGTATTGAGCTGACGTACCAGAGTCTCGTCCAGTGTGAGGCAGCTCAGATGTTCGGAAGCAGTCATATAACTGGCCTAGCTGTATGCTCAGCTTCCTTCAAGAAGTAGTTTGGCAGGTATGGGTGTCTCTGTATCGCAGTGACTCCTGCACTGCTGCTGGTAAGGTATGAACCTGTCCTTGGGTATGAGAACAGATATATGTCATGAATGTAAATCATCATTAGCCTGTATGCTGTCGCTTCATGTGAGCTGCGCATTTCTGCATTACAGCAACCTGCTGGGTGACAAATTGTATAGTGGGCTTCCCATGTATGCAATCCTTCTCCTTTAGCTTTCAGCTGGAGTGACATTCAGTTAAGTATGGATTGGAGGTTTATAGCCAGACCCAGCTCTGCCAGTGGTCTAGAGAAATACAGTGTAAACTCTTGTTAAATGCCCCACAAGCTACCTTGTACTTGCAGTTCTATTTTGGCGGGGCAGGGAGAGCAATAACCACACTGACAACTTGGGGTGAAATTGCGCACTAGTTTTATTGGTTACAGCTTATAACTGTATAGGGTGGGATCTAGTCATCTAGTGATATTGGAGAATTTTCTTTTCACCTGTAATATGCCAAGCCTACTAGAGTTTAAGGGTTCAAGAGGAAACCAAGTATTATGAAATACAAAAGCTTCTACACCACCACACCATATACAATGCTGTTTCCATTTAGATTGTCCTTTTTCAATGCTACAGAAAACCAAGAGTGTGAAAATTGGAGTACCTGTTGGTAAATGCATTTTCTTGACTTCACTTGATGACAATAAATTGCCACATTGAAAACTTGTTGCAGGATAAATTGATCCAGTTTAACTTTTACTACAGTATGATATATTAGACTATGCTTTCATTTAGGCAGTACACTGTAAAATTAGAATTCCAAATGAAATAATTGAGATGTTTTATCCTTACACTTGCTACTGACCACAACAGTTGTAGTTGGAAGCTAGCTAGCTCATTTGCCATGTCTAGGAAAGATAGGGCTTAATCTGCATGTTGACAAAGGAGCCTTAAAAAAAGCCTGTAGAGTTCATTACCTCTTATGCTCTAGTGCAGTGATAGTGAACCTTTTAGAGACCAAGTGCCCAAACTGCAACCCGAAACCCACTTATTTATCACAAAGTGCCAACACTGCAATAAAACCCGAATACTCAGGTTTTAGTTTAGAAAAAACACCTCACAGCCAGTCTAAGCAAATCTATCTATCTATCTGTCCTTGGCAGCGCACTGACAGGCCATGCAAAAGCTCGGACAAGTTGTGGCTAATGAGTCGTGGCTCATGACATCATTGCCTGGCGCCGCTACTCTTTTCCGAGCATGCGCATGGCCCCTATGTGCACTGTTATCTGATGCTCGGCTGCTGGGGCGACTTGGCTCACATGCCAACAGAGAGGGCTCTGTGTGCCCGCTGCAACATGCCTGCCATCGGTTCGCCACCACTGTTCTAGTGTGAGTATTTTTCCTAAAAGAACTGCTTTTCTTTCTGTGAAGCTGAGCGGCATTTTCTAATGTTTCAGAGCAATGTAAAACAAACAAGCAACCATGCAAGACGGAGTATGTGCATTATGGTCTGGCAGTGTGGTGGTGGTTTCATTGATTCCTTTCTGTATGGACAGATTGGGGATGGGACAAATTGAAAAGTGTAAGAGGCAAAGTGCTTTGGGCTACCTGTTTTTTAATGTCAAAATGTAACAATCCTAACCAATAATTGGATGACCTTCTGTGGTGTCATCAAATGATCATTCCCATTCTAAGTATTGAGGGAATGAAATACTGCAGAGTACATGGTCGGAATGAAATACTGCAGAGTACATGGTCGAATTAATCTAGCTTTGGAAAGAATGGGAGCTGAGCATGGTTGATTGTGTGGGGGAATGCCTTCGTACACCTTGGAGGAGAAGGATCTGTAAATGAGTTAGGAAAATTGAGAAGTAGTTAAAAGCTGAATGGGAAGAGTTCTTACAAAGTAGGAGGTGAGAAGCAAGGACCCTAGAAGAAAGGTGCATATGAACAGAAGGAAGAATAGAGCACTGAAGAAATGGAAGCTGAAGGAAGAGTAGGTAGATGAGATACGGGTCTTAAGAAAGCGGGGGGAAATCAGAAGACTGGAAGAAAAGAATGGGAAAGGCAAAGAGTCCCAACCTAAGTTTGCAACATCTGTCTCTCACAAGAGGTGATAGATGGGAGTTTGTAGATTGTACAGATGGATAGAGTACGATAGCAGTATTGGACACCTACTTCTTAGGTCTTTGTGTGGTGCCTCTTGTTACGTATACTCAAGAGCTTGTGTATGATCACATTGTGTCATGTTCAGATAGTGCTTTCTTACTGTCAGTTGCAGCCACGGCTCAACAAACAAACAAGCACACGCTAGATTAGTGGTTGAAAATAAAACAACCTTTACAACTATCAGCATTAGCAAGGGAGCAACACCATCATAGATCAGGGGCCTTTAAATCCCAGTGCCAGGGGAGCCAGTTCTGCTGATAGGATTTAGAGGTCTGGGAGCATGTGAGTAAATGAATTACACTTGTGGTCTCCAGAACAGAAGAACCGACAGTGGATCCCAGGCACAGGAAGCAGCACTTGAAGTGCATCTGTCACTCGTGTATAGCTAATGTGCATGCGTGCCATCATGTCATGCTTATGAATACAAATTGGGCAGCTAGGAAGGCACAGGGTTTAAACAAAGGAAACACAGATGAACTATAGGACACAAGCCGATGCTCCAATTGTTCAAAATGAGAAGAGGATTAAGGGGATTTGTATTGGACCCAGCAAAATTATTCTTGGATAGGATCTGCTTCGAGCTCCTTTTGTTTGCAAGGGGAACTGTGCCTGCCTGTCTCTGTCTCTCTCTGTCTCTCTCTGTCTCTGTCTCTCTCTCTCTCTCTCTCTGTCTCTCTCTCTCTCTCTCTCTCTCTCTCTCTCTCTCTCTCTCTCTCTCTCTCTCTCTCTCTCTCTCTCTCTCTCTCTCTCTCTCTCTCTCTCTCTCTCGTATATATTCCAAGCACAGTTGCTGCTTTAACGACACACATTATGTGCTGTGTTTGTACTGTGATCACAACAATGTATGAAATTGTAATTATGGGAAGAATAGCAGAACTGTGAAAGATCATATCAGTTTCATCATTTGTGTTTACAGCATGAGCCCATGCCACAACCCACAGGATAGTTAGATCTGGGATTTAATTCACAGGCTTAAATATGAAGAGGCTACATTTATAATTTTAAATTCCTAAGAAAAAACTCAGGGATGGCAACAGCGGCAGCTCTCTGGGGAGAGTCTTCCATATCTGGGGCACCACTACCAAAAAGAACCTCTTCTTAGTGGCTCCCAAGTGTCTCTCTGCACACTTTCTTCAGTGTGGACACCCAAAATAGAGCCTCTGATGAATATTATAGGATCCAGGTATATGAGAGGTAATGTTCTGAAACAAATCGTCACTTTAGCCTTCAGTGACAGTGATGGATCAACAAGCACCCCCAGTGAGCACCTGACTTTTTAGGGAAAGTGTTGGACCTTATTTAGAATAGACTGAACGTGACTCACCTGAGGAGATACATCACCAATCAACAGTACCATAGTCTGAGCTGGAGCTTGTCTGTTTGCCCTCCTTTGCTCAGGCACTGATTCAAGACAGACAAAACTTCACCAGCATCTGATGAAAATGAGAATAAAGTTTGGTGTGATACATGCAGTGGTATCAATCCCTGGATGACCACTTTCTGCAGTTTCATGTTGATATTAAAATAACATGCAAGGAAGAGTAGAACCCAGCAGAACTTGAAAGCATAATTGCCTGGTCACTGAGCAGTAATCTCCCAACACAACCTTCTGGAAAAGGTCATTTAAATCCGAGAACTACTGCCAGACTGGTTCTTCCCACATTGAACTCACTGACCATAATCTGGTCAAAAGCTGCTGAAAGGCCAAGGAGACTCAACAGATTGCACTCTCCTTGTTCTTGTTCCAGCAAAGGTCATTGCACAGGTCAACCAAGGGGGTTTCTGTCTGAAAACCAGGTCCTGAATCTGACTGAAATATATTCAGACAATCAGTTTCACTCAAGATTGATTGAAGTTGCCTGGCCACCCCTGTCTTACAGGAAGGATATGTAACCCACTGGTCTACCTAGGTTTCTTCTGGAGTGATCATATTATTTCTTTTGAAGAAGCTGAAACTGCTTCCACTCCCATTTACAGTCTCCTGAACCCAGATGGCCAACTCATTCCTGCTAGATTTAATATGCCAGAAAGTACACAAGTTGAGAATACAGGTGATCAGTAGGACTTGATTATCAATGTTATTTTGTACATGTTTTCCTGCCCTGATAACTAAAAGTCATATAAGAAAACAGGGTTAGACTGTGCATTAGAAGCCACTAGTCATATATATGTGTTGGAGGAAATCAAGGTAAGGTAATCCTAGTGGGACCTCCTGACATGGGACCAATGTACCAGGCACTCTAGGGGGCACTGGTGACATACATCAGGCCAGAGGGATTATCACATCAAGCCAATCATAGGCTTTCAGTCATGCTCAGGTGTCACCTTTTTCCCCACTTGCACT